GTTAATCATACACCTGACTCTAATCCTACAAGATCCCTGACTTTGTGCAAGTGTACAAAGCATGCAAGTGTAAGAATTTATATTGTTTTGAAGCCAAAGGGTAGTCACACCAAATCTTGATTTGATTTAGATTTTTCTTCTGTTTGCTCACTTTGCCTTTTGTAAATTGATAAACAATTAGAATATATATGTTTGAAAGCATTCTTACAGCATTTTTTCACACCTGCCTAAAACTTTTGCACAGTACTATACGTTTTGGTTAATATGTACACTAAGCTGGTATGATCTACATTTTTTAATCACATGAACAAGAAAAAAATTTCCTGTGGATTTTATAGATTTGTTTTTTTAAAGTGGGATTACAGAGTTTTTTCATTCGCTTATTTTAAGATAGAAGTTGAGTACAGGTAGTCCTTGACCGGCAACCATTCAGTCAGCGTCCGTTCCAAGTTATGACGGCACTGAACAAATGATTACAGAGTTTTTTCATTCGCTTATTTTAAGATAGAAGTTGAGTACAGGTAGTCCTTGACCGGCAACCATTCAGTCAGCGTCCGTTCCAAGTTATGACGGCACTGAACAAATGGTGTTATGGCTGGTCCTCGGGTTCAAGTCGTCCCAAGCACCCCCACAGTCACATGATTGCAATCTGGGTGCTTGGCAACCTGTTTGCACTTAGACCAGTTGCCAGGTGCCCCACACTCACATGATCGCCATTTGCAGCCTTCCCTGCTGGCTGGCAGGAAATATCACAAATCGCTGGGGTAAGTCCCCTGCACTCGTGCACTCTCCCCCAGCTCTTCAGCTCCTGCACTATGCCAGCCACTCACATACCTCTGCACACCCTCCCCAACCCATGCTGTACCCTTCCTGACCCACAAAGCACCTCTTGCACATCCCCTCGCACCCTTGTGCACCCTCTCTGACCCAAGCCGCATCACATGTGCACCCCTTTGCACTCTCCCCAACCAATGTGATGCCTCTCGCACACCCCCATACACCCTCCCCAACCCATGCTGCACCTTTTGTGCACCCTCCTGACTCCCTGACCTCTGTTGTGCCTCTTGCCCCCTTGCACACCTTTGTGTGCCCTTCCCACGCTGTGCCTCTCACACACCCTTGCGCACCCCCACTATCAGGCCTAACCCAAAGAACTCCATGCAGGTTCAATCAGCAAGGTTTATTAGCCAGCGCCTGTTTACAGAAATCTTTTCAGACTGACCACTAGTTCCCAGGCACCGCTATTCACTATCTCTGGAATGTTTAGGGATGCGCCAGCTTCCTCTGCTTATCTCCAGAGCGTTGCTCTGGAGACGAGAGCACCATTTTCACCCCCCCTTCCTCCATTCCAGTCCATCACACTCCCTGACTCTCCCCAACCTGTGCCATACCTCTCTTGCATCCTCCCTGACCCTCCCTAACCTGCACTGCACCTCTCATGCATACCCTTGCACTTTTGCACACCCTCCCCAACCTGCGCCATACCTCTCATACACCTCCTCGCACCCTCCTTGCACCATACCTCTCGCACACCCATCTCAACCCTCCGCACCCCTGCATCCCCCCCCCCCCACCCCCCCCCCCCCCCCCCCCCCCCCCCCCCCCCACTCCCTCCCTCACCAGGCAGCAACCACTACCCTGCCTGCAGGCCTGGGACTTCCTGCTGGCTACCCCACTGACTTTGGTTGTAGGCAACTTGCAGGAAGTTGCCTTGCCTCATGAACGGGGGATTCAATTAATTACAGCAACTTGGACTGGAGGAATTGC